TACATGAAGTATTAGACTGCAACAATTCTGTACAATCTGTATTTAAATAATATATCAATGTTTTTAGAGTCGCAGTAGTTTGTGAATTCGAAAAATTACTAATCGTTTTTATCAGTTGGATTTTAAATTCACTTGGGAAAAAAGCAGATGTATTTACTTTATATGTCTCTTTTGTCGTAGCATATTGCTTTAATGATATTAATAATTGCGAGATAAATTTTTGCTCCCGTCTTAATTTTGTGCTGGTATATAAAATTGCAATTAACAAGTTTGTACGATCAACAGTTTGTTCTTTCATAAGTATCTTATTTACAATATCCGAAATATTTTTTTCTATCAAAAGTGGATTGATATATGAAAGTTGTATAAGTACTCTATAATGCACACACGTTACATCATCGTTCATCAAAATCTCACTTATAAAATTCTGAAAATACTCGGTCAATGTAATTCCATCTATGGTATTGTCGAAGTCGAGTGTTATGTCATTCAGTAGTTTGAGGAAAGAATCCAAAATTTCCCATTTACACTTTCCCGAAGAGTTAATTAAATTTCTGAAAAACATATCCAACAAAGTATCTGATTTATAAGTACTTATTATGGTATGGAAAATAAACTGGTAAGTTAAAAGATTACTCCGAAGACTTGATATCTTCACATTTTCAGATAACATGCAAAATAAGTCTGAAAACATTGATCGATGACTTTCTTCAGACTGTTTATTTTGTATAGATCTATTTTTTCCTAGCAACAATTGTTGAATACACTTGTATGCTGCTATGCTAAGTCGATTCATATTATCTCTATGTGTGTAATCAACTAAAATACACATAGGATATAAAATATCTTGTATAAAAATTAATCTCAGATCATCTCTCATAGTAATCAGCTGTTTATACATTTGCATCAGACTTTCGACAATGGTTATTACAGCATTATTTTCTGCAGATGACAATTTATATGGCTCAAACAGTTGATTTACCTTCTTTTGCATTATATTGTCACAGCTAGAACGTTTCAACACATTATTTAACACAGCTCTCATCAATAAGCCTAGAATCTTTGGTTTGGTTATAAAATATTGTCGCATGCTATTATTAACAAAAATTAAACTGCAGCATTCAAGGACCTCCTCATACATGTTTTTCATATCGGTTTTTAATGTTTGTACAAGCATATCGACTAAACATTGTTTTATATCTGCTCTAATATTGATAATATTAAATTTCAAACAATTATTCAAAGCTTTCCAAGCGTGTTGATTCGTGGCACAAGTTTTACATAGCCATTCTAGAAGCAAGTCCTCTTTTCGAATAAGCGACAGATCGACTTTACAAAACGCAGTTTCCGCTAATTTTAATCGCTTCGCTAAAGGATAGTCATCCGAGTTTAATCGCTTTAATAACTCTGTAAAATGTACAGATTACATTTAAAAATGTATAATAGATCAGAGGTTATGCAATCACATGTCGATATATATCTTGCAAGAGTTATTCACTTACCCCTTGACAACGCCATTGTAACAACTTATACAGCTTCTTGATCTATAATATTTGTCCGACATATATTTTAAACATAAATTTTGAAAAAATCAACACAACTATTAAGCGAGAAATATATACCTCAAGCTGCTTAATCTTGAAATGGTTGGCCGACCACGAACTGAGTCGATACCAGTGATGGGAAATTGGCCCCGCGCAACA